CCCCCAAAACCCCAAAACCCCAAAACCCCAAGCCTTGCTCTGAATATTGAATTTTCACATCCAGAGTTTTAGGAACTGAGGCGGGTTAATATTTATACTAAGTTTCACATAGAGAGGGTTAAGAATTTTGTTCAGAGCCTTATCCGATATTTGGTGAATCTCTCAGAAGAGATCAATGATCAGAAGTTAGCCAAGTCTTGACACAGGAGTAGATATTAATCGAGAAAGGAAGAATTAAAATTGTATCTTTATCGGAAATTTTAGAGACATCTTTCGAATTTTCTGTCCATCTTTGGTTTGATATCTTCTTTTAATTGATGGTAAAAATTACAATGATAATAAATATCAACTTGCCTTTTAAAACCAGACTTTAGATGATTGATGAATGTGCCAAGCAGCGTCGAAAATGGACTCTAAAGGAAATGTGATATTCTCAGTAGCATCCTGAAGAATTTATTCATCTAAAGGTTTCAGTTAAATGCATCATTGCAAAATATTCGATATATGACACTTTTCGATGGTGGAACCAACCTTGTTAGAGTGAACTATAGCCTAGCCATGCCTTATGCAACAAGGAAGAATTTTATCTTTCTCATAGTCGGTCAGTCTCCTGTTATGAAGCATAATATGTGAGGAATAATTATTTTTATTATCAAGGTTAGATTTCTAAGCTTGGCCTCAAGGCATCTGAATCTTAACAAGTGAGAAGCGTTCATAAAATATGTTGAGGCACATTTAAACAGTAGAGCTTCTTGTCCTTACATAATGACATAATCTGCTATTTAAGCATTAATAAAGAGTGCTTAGCTAGCATAAAATTTAGCTGCCCCTATTAAGTATCATGAGAACAAGAGTTTTAAGAAAAGAGTCTTTGAGAAGTAGCCTAAGTGTTTCCTACTATTAAGCTCTTCTTCATTTTGGTTTGTAGTTTGATATAAACCAACTGACGAGATTTGTTCAGATGACTTTCATAAACCAACTGACAAAAATTGAAGATCTGACGGAAATTACTTTTAAGATTTCCTTACTGTTTTACTTTCCAAATCTTGGTTGAGGTTTTAAGTCAATGCAGACTTGCTCAAGAAGTTCTTTTGAGTTTTTAAACTGTATCAGAGTCTTAAATAATTGAGTGTCAGTCAATTGCTCCTTTTGGCTGCAGTTTCTATCTCAGTTGATCAAGTATGCTTTTCGATGACAAACAGTCTGATGCTGAAGGTCTAGAATAGGAACCAGGGTGCTGACTAGTATCAGAGTTAGATACTTCACTTGGCCTTAAGAGTTGATCCTAATTAAATGACTTAGATAGCTTCGATCAGAAGGTTAAAAACAGGAGATTCCAGAAAAAACTGAAATTATTAAGGGTTCTATTTAATATCTATCAAAATGAAGGAAGATGCAGCTTGTTAAACATGGCTGACATCATTTCTTGAAACTAAAGGAGATAAATAAAGCATTCACTATTTACTCTTTTAAAACAATTCAAATATCTTAACAAGTGCTCAATGGTAGATTTTCAAAATTTCCGGGTGATAATTTTACAAGTTTGATAAAAAGCTTTTCCCAATATTTTTACTTATTCTTAAGAAAGGTATAGCGAGGCTATGTCCTAGATCACCATCACAAACGCATTAGCCAATATTGGATTAATAAAGTTCCATAACTTAGCAAGCTTATTTAGAAGTCTCACAGAAATTTTCTATTAAAGTCAATATGTTATACAATGAATGGAGGAAGTTGTATTTAAATAAATTTTCATGAGCTTCCATCAATAATCCTCCAAAGCCTTTAGACAAGGATTGGAGGAAGATCTTCAAAACTTGCCAGAGATACTATAGCTTTCGAGTTGACTGATTTCTCGAAACTTTATTAGTTGGTGAAATCCATTTGGTGCGGCTAATTTATCAGAACTCAGAAAATTCATAACACAAAATAATTATGAATTTTCTGATGGCCCGCATAAAGTTGAGAGACAATTGTTCCGGGACTACTAGAAACTAAGAAGTCTAGAAATTTCTGAAATTCTTTCTTAACCATTAAATTGTCTGAGTTCATAATTTTGGTAATGCTCCAAATCGTGAAAGAGCAAAGTATTATTAATTTTAACCATCCAGAAATCTTATTTTTGATAAAGGAGAATTTATATGAATTATTTAGATACTTTTAGACATCAGATCTAGGCTCTATAGCCACCTCAAGCTGTTCTCATTTCTGATATGTCTGATTCAGGCAATCTTCAACAAGTGCAGGAAATGTTTTATACAAGCATTCTGACAGAATCTTCTCCAATTTTTTCTTACTGGAATTATGATGATTTTCTCAGTTCCATTCCAATCTAAGACCTGACATTGATGAAACAGGAGTGCTCCTCAAGCTTATGAATGATTTCACAAGGCATCTGAAGTATTCTGACTCAAATAAGACTTTAAAGTACTTTTTACGATAATAATAAGTGCAGTTGAAAGCATTTTGCCCTTGCTGAGCAGCCTCAGATTCTAAATCTCAACTGTCTTTGGAATGAAGGCTTAGGAACTTGAACAAGAACTCAGCCATTGATTCAGGAGGTACTTCAGGAAGATACACTTTCGCAAGATGAATGAGTGCATCTAAAATTACCTCTGAATGTACAGAAGTAAGTCTCTTGTTTTTAAGCTTATCGTTATGGTACAGAAAGAGGCCATTATAAAACTTTCTCAAGATCCTAAGCATCTTTCTATGCTGTATATCTGGCCTTCTCCTAGCTTTATTTGATGCTTCTGGGCCTCCTTCTAATTTAGGAAATATTTCTGGATTGCACAAATTGGCAAAGAAATTGCTCTGCTCTGTATCTTGCTTAACTTGTTTACCAAATAAACCATGAGGATAAAAGTCAGGAGAAAATATTGTGTAGTCAATTTCTTTGTCGTTAAGGGTCTTCTGTGCCACAAAGGGAGAGCTGGATCCTGACTGATAAGTTCTATTTATTTCACTAGGCAAATGTAGCATTATATTTTCAACTGGATCGTGTCTCCTATTTCCTGTGTTTTGCTATAATGAGAAATAAGATATTGTCTCTAAGCTTTCAAAAACTTTAAGAAGAAGCTAAGCTTAAAGCCTAAGTTTGCCTATCTTTTCATAGGATAGTAGTCATGGAATCATTATAAATCGACTCATGAGAGTGTACTTCTCAAGTGCTAGTCTTATTTATTTTACAGTCTTCCCTTTCTCTAAGATAAGGCTTCCTGAAGTTGCTGGGTAAAATACTGTGATCCAGCTTAAAACATATTCTGAAATATAAAAGAAGGTAGATAAGAGACAAAACAGATTATTACACGCTAAAAATGCAGAATGGAGAGTAAATCCTAAGTTTATTCAGCCACATAGAATGTAAAAGGAAACAACTTTCTTACCATCGTCGAACTTAGGCTATTTCAATGAAGCAGTAGGGGAGTTTGGTCAAACGGGTTGGCATCCATTGTTTATTTGAAAAGTTTATTAATCTCTCAATGCTGTTGCTTCTTATGGGGTTTTGGGGTTTTGGGGTTTTGGGGTTTTGGGG